CCTTGGGATGTGAAACATATGGGTGTTGGACAATGTATCATGGCAGCTAGGTTAGCTTTCATCTGGGAATAGCCAGCGAACCTGCAAGCTACCTGGAGGAATGATGAGCAGCTTCTCAGATGTGCTCCTCAAAAGACCGGGTCTTGCTCGTCCCAGTGTACGAGTGGGATCGAGGACCAGACCTAAAAAGTACGGGATAATGGTACGGATACAAAAGATACAAACAGGTATGTCAAAGAGTGGACAGCAAGGGAGGCGAAATTCGCAGCTCCGGCCCTCGACTTCTTACTCAGAGTAGCGAGCAGCAACACTGTCTGCACAGTTTAGACTTCGCCAACAGCTGATTACGAAGAGGTGGTAAGGATTACTGTCAAACCCTAGCACTTCGGGCGATCATAGCTCGTTGTGCCTAAGTCTAGTGGCCCCTTCCGGGATGCAGTACTTTCTTGCCTTCCCGACATTCAATGGCATTCAATCTACTCAACAGCGGGCTTAGATGTTGGCATTGATTCAGACTCTCTTCTTTGAGAAGGTCTTTGTTGATCTCCAATGAGCTCCGTCCCGTGATCGAGGGGCTCACTGAGGCTTCCACTACAGGCCGATGCGCGAGCATGGAGCCCCAGGTCTGGTCATTTGTCAAGCGTTTGCTGCTGATCTTAGAGCAAAAGAACCGAAGCCCTGAAAGGAAGGTGATCAAGGTTTTGTAGGAATTCAAGATTTCATGTTGATTCCATTGCACATCAAGGAGTGCTACTTTAAAAGTCCTCTTTCTGAAACGTAGCTTGGAACAAGAACTCTGTGGTGCAGTGGTGACTGGTTCCGGCCGCAATCGCCCTTGGGCAATGATGACTCGGCCGACCAGAGAGAGTGACCACAATGATGGCGTGAAGATGGGTGAAACTTGAGAGCTTTGGAGTGGCATATCTCACCAGATGAGTGGAACATGTGTAACGACGGATCAGCACCCAGAGTCTTGATTAATAGAACCCCCCTCATTTGGATTGTAAAGTATTTATTGATCAAGAGTCTACATTCATGAACATCCATGATGGTTTGCCACTCACAGGGTTTCCAGCTGCGGGGTGATCCACAGCTGGAACCTGCATGGGCCCTGCATGGGCCTGTGGTCAGAAGGAAGGGCTGTGGTGTTCTCGGTTCTTTCTCCAACACAGTTGTTTTGGAAGGAGAGGAGCGTACCTGTTCCAAGCTTGTGCAAGCTCCCAGAGGGAAACCCTCGTGCACAAACTTCAAACGCTCGCAATGACGGGTATACCGGCAGTATACCGTATACCCCCCTTCAACAAACATGGTTTCGTGGACGGTCCTCTCCTTGGTCTTCGGATCTGGGTCTTTCCAAAAGCCATGCCGTGAGGACGTCACTTCGGACGTTGGATGTGGTACCAAGTCAGTCAGACTCCGACCGGTACGAGCACTGGTACATTGAGCGTATGTACAACACGCCTGAGGCCTGGCAACAAGGATTCTTTTGGTGGAGGAGGTGGGTCGGATGGAGGGGCGATGACTCCACTCCAAATGGTTCAGTGGTTCAGCCAGAGCTTCAAGAGGTTCATGAGCTTAGGGTACACGTTCGTGAGCAGGTCGTGGATTCTGGAGGAAGTCCGGATGAACTTGCTTGACATTTGGACCTTTTGAAACCCTAACAGTCCTGGAATGTCCTGGATCTGATTTCAGCAAAAGTGAATCAACGCACCCAAACAGAAGGGTATTGGCTGAGTGACCTCCGTTGCTTTGTGGTCAACGTGGTAGACGTGACATCGACCGTGTCGATTCTTCGTCGCTGTGTGGTGTAGAGGAAGCAGACCTGCTTGGAAAGACGGGTCATGTGGGATTAGGTGGTGGCTTTGGTGGATGGAGATCTTGCTGCCAATCAAAGCGCAATTCAACTGAATCATTTCCTGTATGTTTGGCAACCACCCGGAAGTGCGGAGTGAGCGGAGCAACACCCGCTACAGGGGGGAAGGCCTTTCCTACGGCTGGGGGGACCTGGTCGATCTCGGCGGATGGTTGGAAGAGAGGAGCAAGTTGACCTCCAAACACTATTGGAGGAAGTTGTTCTTCGTTCGCTTCTTCTTGTTCCGTAGCGATGGCGAGTTCGCCACGTTCGCCCCGTTCGGTTCGCGTCCGATCGCTCCGGACTCGTAGCGATGCCACGTTGGCCCCGTTCGTAGTTGAATTCCATAGACCAAAAGAAGGACCAGGGGACCGAAAAGAAAAGGATCTGGGTCGATGTGAAGTTCTTCTAATCTCCAATTCATCGAGAGCATAGACACAGATCGTGCGATCAGATACCACTGCCAATGCCTATGGATGCATGCATATGCCTCGTGAAGATTCGATTTCGGGTTCGGCACTGTTTATGAACATATATATATATATATACTGTGGTATTTCCATGTGTTTCCATTTTCCCCAGAATGGTTCAGCTCCGACACAGTTTGAGACAAACCATGCAGGCAAAAGTTTTCTTTCCCCAGAACCTCCACCGGACTTCCCCCAAAAAGGCATGGCTTTGTGTGTTGAAACGGCCGTCCATGGCTTTCGCGGGATTGGTGGTATGCAGTGCCTGCGAGCGATTGGGGGGGATTCTACGCGTGAAACTGGGAGAAGTGAAGAGGAATGGGCCACGGATGTTTTGAAGGAATAGGTCTTTCTTTCAATGAAGAAACACCACCATTCATGGTAGGAACCACCAATGGAAACCTTATGTTTAACTTTTTGGGCTTCACAATCAATTGTGGACGAAACACCGTCTTCGGTGACACGTGGTTTGCCATATAATGCCATATAAATAGATTAAATAGATTCAATTGAGTATCCTGGCCATATAACAATAGCTCATATAGTATCCAATAGATCATATATTTTTTTGTTCGCCCAGGACGGTGCCTTGCTTCACCGACTGCGGCACTGCCCAAGACCGCAGCTTGCACCACGAGGAACTCGTGCAGAGGCGCCGCCGAGAGGGAAACTCGGTGGATCGCCGGGAAACTCGTTCCGACAAAGGAGGTTTCCCCACATCTGATTGATGCAGGAGGCTTCCCGTTTTCCCCATGTTTTCTTACGGTTTCTTTCGTTTTGGCTTTTCGGGGTGTGGACGTTGGCAAACAGAAACTCTTCTCGATTTGGGGCTGTTCTTCCCGCGGGAACGGCGTTGTTTGGTCTTGCATGGTTTTGCACTTTTCACCGTGGACCTTTGCTCTCGGCAAGTGCCACACGGGACGAACGGGTGCGAGCGATGGCATCGGGTGAAGCTTTCACCGAGTAGGGACAGAGCTTTGGACAGAGCAGAGTGGTAAGCCTAGCCCGTGCTCTTTGAGATTTTGATAGATTTTGTATTGTATATACTTTAAAGACTTGATATTCATCATCTCGATGGCATCTTCGATGAATTGACCGTTCTTTTCAGCCAGGATGTTTTTTGGTAGTTCGGTTGCTGGACATGTTTTTTTGTTTTTTTTTTCCAATCACATTGTTGTGATCTGAACTTTACTATTCCTCCTCATGGTCTTCCCAGGCCCTCTACGGCACCCTCTACGGCCAGCGTTTGCAGGCGGCCGCGCAGGCCGATGTCCGGCAGTGAAGAGCTGTGGAGACTAGACGTGAAACCTTCCATGTGAAGAGGTTTGAAGAGGTTTTCTCATCCACAGGTTGTATCTATTTGTTCATTCTTAAATGATGAATCATACACACTGCACACACATGGCCCACACGTGGCCCACACGTGGCCTCCGCCACAGTCAGACTGTCCGAGATGATGGGGCGAACAATTGCCGTTGAACCGAGAAACTGAGTCGGTCCTGAACTGGACTCTATACTGGCGCCGGCCAGTGGTAACCCCTCCTTCGCCAGATCCACTTGCAATATGCACCGCTTAGTTTGCGGAGGGAATAAGGGTAAACTTTTCAGAAGTCCATGATGAGGTGTTGGACTTAGTGTTGCATGGCTGAAGATTTCATCGCTTCTTGCATGCCTCTAGCTAGCCGCTTTGAAGGCTCAAGGTTGCATGTGTATTGGCACACATAGGCCAAAACCCACCGAACGTTGGCCATGGCGCGAACTGCCGGCCTCTTGATCCTGTTGGGCATCCTTTGCCTCCCACGCGAGCCGAGCTTCCTCTTCGCCGGGCGCGGGCGCAGGCTGCACATCGGGCGCCCCCCATTCAGTGCTGCGTGCGGAACCGTCCATTGGGATGGCGATTTCAGCGACCGTCAAGAAGTTGGTGAAAAATGGGGCCGTGGTGGATCTACCTAAACAGAAACCGGGCTGGATCCATATCAAGGAACTGCAGGAGGGCTACACCCAGAAGGTGGAGGATGTCTTGAGTGTTGGGCAGCAGATCGACGTCAGGATCTTGAAAGTGAAACCGCATGAGTTGGAGGCGAGGGAGTTGCGAAATGAAAGCAAAACAACAACACATGTTTCAGTCTCGGATGTTGCAGGGGTCAAATCTTTGGGTACACTCTTGGGTCGAAAACACAAGCAATCGGGACACTTGAACTTGAGACACATGAAGCTTGGACAAAACATGAGGACACTGGTGTGGGTCGACCTCCCCTGGATAGTTTGAGACACATATGTTTTTCATGTTTGGGAATGGACAACTTGCCAGCAAATCATGGTAGCAAGTCACGGAAGGTAGCCTCGGCTACCTTAGTTCTCCTTGCATTAGCAAAATGATGTAAGGGGTGGTGGGATGTTCGAGGGGTGTGATTTCGATCGCTTTGGTAGTATTCAATTATT